TTATAAAACTCATCACAATCCGTACATACATCAATTGTGTAAAGCGCATTTGTACATTCATTGCCCTCATCATTCTCAAAACATTTCCTCTCCACCTAAGCTCCTGGCATCAGGTCCTCATTCCCCTCCTCTTTTTTTTTCATTGACAAAGTCTTGATCTTCTTTAGAACTTTGCTTAACACATGTGAGGTCACTTGTACATAGGGTTATTCCTATCAACAGTTTGTAATAGAGATATAGATTGGAAATCTTTTAAATGCCTACAAGTACAGTGGGGTACTTCCTCCCTGATTCCTCAAAAGTTCACTACCTTGGTGTAATTCTTATTTGCCTAGTGTGTATTTCTCTTGCCCAATTATCTAACTTTCTTGTTGTTTACTTACATGGTTCATAGCTCTTCTATGAACTTCATAAGCTGACAAGTTTCTCACTATAAGGGTTTGTAACATAGCGTCCATCAGAACTGGCCTGAGTTCCTGAGGGATAAGAATTAGTGTTCACAAAAAACTGGTTTTTATGAGGTGGTCAAATAGACCTCCATTTGTCAACTTCCATACCATTCTCACACCAGCATTCTCCCCCGGGATAGTCTATATTTCTCTGCTGGTGTCATTTATTCCTTCAGTGGCCACATGGAACTCTCAGACCCTGCTCAGACCATGTGATGTGGTTCATTAGGAAGGTGGCAGGCTACCACTTGAGATCAAGATCAGTTTGGAAGTCACAGGAACAAGTCAGGGTCCGGACAGGAAGCCTATAGACATGGTCTGGAAAGCTTTCCCGAGGTAGGGAGCACATTCCTCCCTTCTGCACGTTCTGGACAGCTTCTAAGCAGGACTGCTCTCTTCACTGCGCTGTCCAATCTGTCACAGACTCTTCCAGCCCTCCAAATCTGCCAAGGCCCTTTCTGGACTGCTCTGCTGCAGGGTTCCTCAGCAGGTCCAAACTTCTTGCGCACACTTTTCTTGAAGTTCCCTTCCTTCTCTCTTCCTGCCTCTTGACTTTGCTCTAAAAACTGCTGTGGGTTTAGTTGGTTATATAAACAAATTTTGTCATGTTCAAGGGATGGCCTTCCCAGCATGACCACAAACTGACCAATCCCCTCAGTGGACTGTAAGCCAGTCAGTGTTGTTGGGTGAATTTTCAAGTCACTGTTTGAGCAGTAAATCGACCAACATCCATAAGGCATGTAAAGTGAGCTAATCACAAAGCATCCGGTAGCCCAGAACTAGACAGGAAAAGTATCAAACCACCGAGTTGTTCACAGCTTACCCAGGAAATGTTAGTCACCCTGAGGAGTCATTCTTGAAGCCCCGTTTCCAACGAAGTCATGCAGAAGCCACTAAAGGAACTCCTTTCACCAGAGTGCCCTAACATTTCTCTTCCTTGACCTCAGTATGTTTGAAGACAAAGGCTTGACTTGGTTTTTGTGTTGAATAGTTGTCTTTATTCTGAAGGTGCTAGGGAGGCACTGATAACCTCGAAAGCTGGAAGTAACGTGATATATTCTAGCGCTAGAAATGTGGGCTTTCACCTTCACTGAGGTGATGAATCTGAGAACGTCATACAGGGGCACATTGAACCTGTGATTGATAACCCCGAGCACCTACAGAACATCTTCGCTCTGTAATTTCCTTCCTTTTGTTTTTATTCTGGGTTCTATGGACATTGCTTAACCCTAGTGGTTGTACCCTGTGCTAAAGGTGTCCAAAAACCTCTCACTGCCATCACTTGATTGCAATGCATAGATTAGGGCAATTCCATTTAGAGACAAGTGGTGTCCCACTCTCCGAAATAACAGGTGTCCAGACTGAGTGTAAGAAGTTGTTATATGCACTGTGTTAAAAATGGTTCCCAACTTGGAAATTTTTGCATGAAAGTTTGGCCATTTGGAATGACTGAATTTGAGGACTTTCATCAAAGTAAGATTTATTGAAGTGCTATTTTGTGATGATGTATTATTTATGACTAAAATAGATTGTTATAAGTTGTAAACTGTCATTTTATATTTTATTATATTTTGAAAACTCAAACTTCCCATTAATTTAAATCCAACTATTGAATTCTTTTGCCTCACTAATTTAGGTATGGATGGCAGAACAGAAAATATCATATGATAAGAAGAAACAAGAAGAATTAATGCAACAGTATCTTAAGGAACAAGAATCATATGATAATAGGTAAGAAATTCCAATGTGTTGATGTTGTTGGAATAATTAACTACACGAAAATAACTCCTTACTGAACCATAGATTAAGTCACCTTTTTGAAAATGAATGCTGCGGTGATAGGAGTTAATCCTCTCCCTGTGAAATATCTACTACCTGTTTTTTGCAGGATATAAATCTTACAGGAGCAGACATCTGCATCTTTGTTCTACAAGGCAATTGGCAATAAATCATACCATTCAATAGTTCAATTATGTCAAGGAGAATTGTATAATCGTTACTCCAATCAGTTTTAGAACTTTTTTTCATGGTTAAATTGCTTTTAATATGAGTTGTGTAATCACCATCAGTTCTAGTGCTCTTTTCACCCTCCTGCATACTTTGTTTAATCCCCAGCCCCTTCTCCCTCCCCTTCTCTCACCCCCTTATCCCTACCTCCCCACTAACCCCTTGCATCAGTTATTATCGCTGTGCATCTACTACTTCACAAAACCCAACAGAAACAAATGAAGTGGTAAGGATAAAATAATAATGTTGTTGTCTTTGGATTACACAAGCTGGTGTGCTTCTTCCATGTGGACTTAGTTGACTCCTCACTTAGATGGCTGCTTGTTTAAATGCAAGCCTTTAATACCCCAGACACTATTCCGGTTGATAGCCAGGCACCATGTACTCTCTTCACCACACTTTGTGGTAGCACCCTTATCTTTGGTGATCATTTCATGACTGTTCTTTTATTTGGCCACTTATTTCAATTTTACTAACCACTCACATAAAATACAGATTCATATGACGTGTAGTTTGCAAGCAAGTTCCAAATTAGTTGAAGTGGAGAAGAACTCTTGAGACCTATTGCAAAGATACTTCTTTAATGTATACTCAAAGGACAGCTTCAGAAAGAAAAATTGAATGTCTCTGGTTTAGGTGCCTGTTCTTTATTGGTTTCTTTCAACATAGTAACCTAGCATTTGGTTTTTACTTTTCTTGGTTAAGCCAGCAAGTAAGTAGTGATACTTTAGTTACACAGAATATACTCTCAAACAAAATTTGTTATTATTAATTACTTTAGGATTTATTTGTTTGTTTGTTTTTTATGCGAGGAGATTATAGTTTTTTTCCTCTACGTAAAATGGTTGGCTTTATGTCTTATTTCCTTTAGATTGCTTATGGGAGATGAACGTGTAAAGAATGGCCTTAATTTCATGTATGAGGCTCCACCAGGAGCTAAAAAAGGTACCTACTTTATTTCATTGATTTTTAAGTCTTCTAGGTGAGGTAGAAAGGAGGAACCAATCACAAGAATCTACATTTAGCCCCCTCTCTGGGGGACGGACAACAGAAAAGTGGGTGAAGGGAGAGGTCGGACAGTGCAAGACATGACAAAATAATAATTTATAAATTATCAAGGGTTTGGGGGCGGGGAGAGAGGGGAAAAATGAGGAGCTGATACCAAGGGCTCGAGTAGAAAGCAAATGTTTTGAGAATGATGATGGCAACAGATGTACAAACGTGCTTGACACGGTGGATATATGGATTGTGATACGAGTTGTATGAGCCCCCAATGAAATGATTTAAAAAAAAAAAAGACTGAGAATTGCTATTCATACTGCCATTGAGTTGATGCCAACTTCTCCTATAGGACAGGGTAGAATTGCCCCTTTAAATTTCTGCAACTCTAACTCTTTTTTTTTTTTTTTTTAATCATTTTATTAGGGGGGGGGGCTCTTGCAAATTTTATGACAATCCATCATTCAATTGTATTAAGCACACTTGTACATATGTTGCCATCATCATTTGCTTGTTTCTACTTGAGCCCTGCATTTGTTTCCTTAATTAAGAAGCATGCGTTTCTTTAATTAAGCCAAAATAAAATAGATTACTATCAGATTCTTTTTTTTAATACTTTTATTGGAAGCTCTTACATCTATCACAATCCATACATTCCTCCAATGTGTTGAGCACATTTGCACATATGCCGCCATCATCATTTTCAAAGCATTCTCTTCCCACTTGAGCCCCTGATATCAGCTCCCCATTTTTTTGATAACTCTTTAAGGAAGTAGAAAGCCTCATCTTTCTCCTACGGAGTGGGTGTTAGATTCTAACTGTTGAGTTAACAGCCCAACGTATAACCAGATTGCTAAATCATATTCTTTTCTTTCTCTTGCTCTTTTTTGTGTGTGTGTGTGATTTGAGTAAGTTTACCAAGAAAATTGGTTTTCCATTCAATAATTTGTACAGATATTACTTTATGACACTGACTGCAATCTCCACAATGTAACAGTACTCTTCCTGTTTGTTCCTTGTGCTTACCATTTCTGTTCATCCATCTTGCCTTCTCCTTTCTGCCTTCTGAGCTTGATCCAGGGCAGATGCTCCCCTTTAGATCTCACATGGGTGATTGTTCTAATGAGAGTACACACATCCCTGACGTTACTGTTCGCCTATGGTCTGGTCTGTTGTTTGGCCAAAAATTGAGCCACAAGAATGAGAACGGTTCTTGATAGGTGTGAGGCCTGGGAGGCACATCGTCTTTTAAAATTACTATTCTGTTAAAGTAATTTAAAATATACTCTTAAGAGCTATAAGAGAATAAATACTAAAAATGTTTGTCTCATATTTCATGGTGTGTGCATCGGGAAACCAAAAATTAGCAGAGGTATATATATTTTTCCTAATGTATATATCTTTAATCCTTCTTATTGAATGTAAATCATAAATCCATTACCATCTGGCTCATAGTGAACCCTATAGGAGATGTTAGAACTTCCCCATGGAGTTTTTAAGGCTGAAAATCTATGGAAGCATATTTTTATATCTGCTTTTTCTCCTAAAGATTGTCTAGTGAGTTTGAACCACTGACATTTTAGTTAGCGGCCAAGCGCTTTAACCACTGTCTACCAGTACTCCATATACTCATAATATTCACTCACAGAAACGTGAGAGGTGTTTGAAAATTAAGAAATAACATACTCATTATCATGTCTCTTGTCTCATATTTAATAGTCTATTTTATCCTCCTGTGATCTTGTGAAAGGGGTCTTGGTGGTGCTGTGGAATAAATAAGCACTGGTCTGCTGACCATTGGGTTGGCAGTTCAAACCCACCAGCCATTCAAGGGAAAAAGACGAGACTACTCTCGGAAAGATCTCGTCTCGGGAACCCGAAGGAATAGTTCTACTCCGTTCTGTAGGGTTGTTGTGGCTCAGTGGCAATGGGTTAGATCTTGTGGAAGAATGAAGAGTAAAGCTCATAAGTTATTACAAATTACAATTAAGTGCCATGTTATAGCAGTATAGTATTTAGCAGACTAATACTAATGTTTATAACTTGTCGTGTCTTCCTCCTCTATGTTTTGATCACCAATCAAGAAAACAAAGAGGTAAAGCTCTACTTCCTGTGTTTCAGTTTACTTGCAATAGATTGTGATTTTATGGAAAAATTGAAATCATTTTTAATTAATGATTTTAGAAAGAAGAAATAGAAGGAGAAACGGAATATAAATTTGAATGGCAGAAAGGAGCCCCACGAGAAAAGTAAGGACTGGTGGTTTTTTAAAGATAAAATACATATCATTAAAGTTACTTTATATTACCTTTTATTCACTAGAGAAGACAACTAATATGAAATGATATTTCTAATGACATTTTTATACAACTAATCTACTTGATCATCGTCTTTTGTTGTTTCGTATGCTTTTTAATATTTTTTAATCACAAATCATGGTACTGGACACCTAAGAAGTGGCTTTTGCAAATAATATACTTTGTAGTTTTATGTACCTAGTGATGTGATACATTTTTATAATATTCTTAGAACTATAAGACTTTTTCAGATTAATGTTTGCTTACCATTATATTTACCTAATATTACACATTTTTTCTGCTTATTAGATATGCCAAAGATGACATGAACATCAGAGATCAGCCCTTTGGTATTCAGGCAAGTGACACATATTTTACTCTGTAAAAATAATTTTTTAAATTAATATTTCTTTATACTGTTGTGCAAAAAGCCGTTTAGATGAAAAGGCACTGCTTCTATTTGAACCAGATAATAGAAAAATAGGGGAGGAAAAATGAAATGCTGTAGACTGATAGGAATCAAAAATTCTATGAGTGAAGGTTATAAATATATTGGTCTCTGAAGTTTTCAAGGAACTGGGAGTGTTTCCTGTAAGTCAAGAAAAGATACAAGGGAGGGAGGGAAAAATGAGGAGCTGATACCAAGGGCTCAAGTAGAAAGAAAATGTTTTGAAAATGATGATGGCAACATATGTACAAATGTGCTTGATTTGATGTATGAATTGTTATAAGAACTGTAAGAGCCCCCAATAAAATGATTTATTTAAAAAATAAAATAATTCAAGAGATTTTCCATATATATAATTATGTTGCCTGTAAATAAAGGCCATTTTACTTATTCCTCCGCACGCACAAACTGTCACCAAAGTCAGGTTCTGATCATGAACAATGTTGATGGAAGACAGCCCAAGTCCTTCATGTAGATACTCCTGTCTGGTTCTTTTCCCACTCCAGCAGCAGAATTGAGCAGTTGGCCTACGAAACCTAAAATACTTAGTTACCTGGCTCTTAACAGAAAAAGTTTTCAAGCCTCTGGTTTAGACAACAACAACTAAATGAGAGAATTTAATATTAAGCCATGACATAATTCTTCTTTTCATATTTCATCATGTTATTGTAAATGGCATTGCTTTATTGCCACCGAGCGAATAAGAGGTTAAAGGAAGTCGTAACTATAAAGCAGAATTTGTAGTAAAAGATTTTAGTATCTGCAATAAGTTACCAAACACAGTAGGGATCTTTCCTGGAGATCTTTTAACAGGAGAGTAACTGAAACTCTGTAGGAAGAAAGAGTTAAACACTAGTTACATTCTTAGTATTTTAATAACCAAAACAATGTTCACTATTTCCACAGGTTCGAAATGTGAGGTGTATTAAATGCCACAAGTGGGGCCATGTCAATACAGATCGAGAATGCCCTTTGTTTGGTCTTTCTGGAATCAATGCAAGTTCTGTTCCTACTGATGGCTCAGGTAGGCATCAGATATGATACATTTATCTATTTATTTATTTATTTATTTTGGAATTTATGTCAAGGATGAACAAGAAAAGATAAAAACTTTTTTTAATCTCTGGGTTTTTTGCTTGTTTGTTTTATTTTTGTATTTTTGGACTAAGGTACATTTCCAGAGTTTAATGAATAATGAGAAAATCTGATGATATATTCTGATTTTGAATGCTATGTAATGAAGTTAAGCGTACTTTTTTTTCTTTAATATTTCCTCCCCTTACTATTATGGTTTTTATTTGTTTTGTTTTTTAATCATTTTATTTGGGGCTCATACAACTCTTATCACAATCCATACACACATCAACTGTGTAAAGCACATGTGTACATTCATTGCCCACATCATTCTCAGTTGAACGTACTTTTTCTAGCAAAGGGTCCTATGAACTTTATTTTAAAAGCAATGGGTTAAAAATAAAAAAGCAATGGATATGTTATTGTATGCTATCAAGCTAATTGTGACTCATAGCAGCCCTATATGTCAGAGTAAAGTCCTATGGGATTTTTTTCCAGACAGTAAATTTTATGAGAACAGATCTCTAGGCTTTGTTTCCCCATGGAATGGCCGATGGGTTTGAACCACTGACCTTTTAGTTATCAACTTAACACATTGCATCAACTAGGCCCCTTCAAGGATATATTAAACCTTGTTTGTCAAGTTGGCCACCTAAGAATTGGGAGGAAAAATGGTTATTTCCCATATTTATATCTTTCTGAATTGTTAACTGTCTTATAGTCAATGATTATAGTCAAAGTGACCTTATAGGATGAAGTTACTTTTTAAATCTATAAGATTTTTGGCAGCTCTGCACTTTATGGTGAAAGGATGTGAAAATTCTTAGAACTGAAGTCTCTTTCTCTATGAAATAATCATATTTAGCAGCTGTGTATTAGTGTTCCTTCATATCATGTAATAAGTTTCTGTTTTGAGGTCTGTGTTCCAAGTTTAGAAAAATGAGTTCTACCCCAAGTTCACAATCTAATCAGAAAGATTAACATACCATAGGAGAAACAGGTAGAAAATAACTTCCAGTTTATAGTCTGGGAGGCAAAACTAGCATATTACTAAGAATCTAACACTGACTGAATGTTAAATTGAACATGTATAAAAAGAGTTACAAAGGACTAAAATGACCTTTAAGGGATTGTTAGCTTTAGACTGGTAAAAACAAAGACCAGAAGAAAAACACTAGCAAAGTAAACATTATGCTATACAGAATAGGCCTGAGTGACAGATTTATCTTGGACAACTTTTGTTGTTAAATGACTATCAAATCAGTTCTGACTCAGTAACAACAGAGCAAAGCACTGCCCAGTTCTGCACTATTCTCAAAACTGTTGCTAGATTTGAGCCCATTACTGTAGCCACTGTGTCACCATCTCATTGATGGGCTTCCTCTTCTTGCTGACCTTCCACTTTGCCAACATGTCCTTCTCCAGGAAGTGGTCAGCATTAAATGGGTGGAATCAGATTCTGAATGGCTCGTAAAAATGAGTTTTTGAGTGTGGGGCATTGGTACTTGTGGCCATTGTGTCCCAAGCTTACCTACTGTGAAAGGATCATTAAGTTTTTGGTCTGTAATATTGGTTCCGTGACTTTACAGAATGTAAGATCATAAGAGAATATGATGAATAATTTCACCCAACCAATTATGTAGAGTAGATGAAGTTAATAAATTCCTAGAAACTCTTAAACTTCCTACATTGATTCAAGAAGAACTAGATGATCCCAACAAGTCCATAATAAATAAAGAGATTGAATCTGTAATAAAAAGTCTCCCCCAAAAGAAAACAACAGGTCTATATACTTCACCAGTGAATTCTACAAAAGTTACAGAAGTGATCCTAATCCTTTTTAATTTTTTCCAAAATGTAGAAGAGAAAAGAACGCTGAGGCTGTTGCCTTGAGATACTCTTTAACCCTTGAACCAGAGCTAGTACCGTAGGTCATGTGTTAGCTCAACAGCAGATTGACTCACAGTGTAAAGAATATCACCGTGAGTACTTCATCTGTGTTAGACACGGTCAACCATCCCTTGGAAAACAAAGATGGGAAGTCAGAGGAGCAGGGAAACTGGGTTACTGAAATTGGAACAACCAGAAAGGACATCATCAGAATGTCCACATATTATGAAGTATATACCCAATGTGAATAGATTTTATTTAAGAAAGAAGCTAAGAATAGAAGGAAATTTTCTAGGTCTGATAAAAGGAATTTATGAAAAACAGCTAAAACCATACTCAGTGGTAAGACTAAGAGGTTTCCCCTTAAGATCAGAAATAAGACAAAGATGCCCACTCGTACTATCACTATTCAGTATTGTACTGCAAGTTCTAGCTAGAACACATAACCAACCCAGAAAGGAAGGAATTAAAACTATCCATTTTTGCTGATAACATAATCATGTACATAGGAGACTCCCCCAAAATCCTCAGTCAGTCTACTAGAACTAGTAAATGAAGTCAACAAAGTGGGAGTTCACCCACAAAAGTCAGTCAGGTTTTTATACACTAGCAATGCGCATTCTAGGAAGGGAATTAAAGAAACAATTCACTTACAGTAGCATCCAAAAGAATAAAAGACCTTAGAATGAGCTTTAACCTCACTGAGATGAATTGAGATCGTGGTTACAGTAGGTAAAGGAAGCAGAGTCAAAATACTTAGCAGTTTAATTCTTTGCAGAGTCTTGGTGGTGTCGAGGGTTACTCACTGGGCTGCGAGCCACAAGGAGAAAGATGGACAGTTTCAGAGAGCCACAGGGGCAGTGCTCTGTCCTCTAGGGTCACTGAATTCCAGACTTAAATCTTTGCAGAGTCTATAGGAAAGGGTCCTGGGAAATTTCCATTTACTCCTTTCAAATAGAAAAGGTTTGAGAAGAAATATTGGTAAATACATAACATTTTAGAATTCTTAAGTCCTGTAGCTTACTTATATAAGAATATCACAAACTGCTGAATTCTTTGATAACATTGTGCTAAAAAGTCAGTAATTTTTAACATATTTGATACCAGATAAGATGATTATATTTTTTAATCTATTTTTGGTACATTATCAAGGTTTAAAACCATCAGCTGAACCTAGGTATAAGAACCATTGATTTGAGGAAAATAGTGCTGCTTTTTGTTTAATTTTTTGTTTTGCTTATTATCATATAGTCTTGAATTCATCCTAAGGAAGTAATCGTGGACATGTCCAAAGACTTAGTTCCCAAACATTGCTTATAGTAGTGAAAAAAAAAAAAAAGAGTGAATGAATGAGTGAAAAACATAAGAGAAAAAGAAATAACCTAGATAGCTAATGAAAGGATATTAAATGAATAGTGCACATTATCATAGCATACTGTAGTATGTGGCAGTCAATGATAGGAAGATTTCTTAATGATACAGACATTGTTTATAACATTCGGTTAAATTTTAAAAGCAGGTCATGAAAGAGGAGCTACGTAGATTCCATTTTTATCTTTCTCTTTATGTAGAAAGTCAGATATTTTTGAAAAAAGATTAGAAGGAGATAGGCCACGTATCAGCAGTGATTGTGTCTGGATGGTAGGATTATCTATGTGGTTTTTGTTTTTTTGTTTTTTGCTTTGTTTCTACCTGCTGCTTAACATAGATTTATAATTTTTAAATGAACACTAGAATAATTAAAGACTGCACATAGAAATAAATGACTTAAAATTACATTACTTACATACTCCCTTTAAGGTTTGACCTTAATTTAGCTGTAGTGTTTAACTAATGCTAATAGAAACGCTTAAAGCGTTTCTCAAAAACAAAATAAAAAACTCTACTTTATCAAATAGGAAAGCAAATAATGATGTTGTATTCTGAATTTGAATGTAATAAAAAATAAACTGACCAATTTCCTAATCCACTTGCTGATTCAAGCTAAAAAAAATCTTTTCATTTAAAAAAATCACCTATTGAATAATGTTTCACCAGTGAATAGAGATTATTTTTGCAATAAGGCAATTTCAGTGAATGCGGTTATCATGGGATAATCACACCCCTGGGGTACAGCCTTGTGCCTGTAATCTCCCAGGAGTGTAATTATTTCATGATAACTGGACCCCCTGGTGTTGCATTATTTCTATTATGAAATTCCTAGTTTAGTATATAAAGTAACTTACTCTGATCACTGGAAACTGCAAGGTGCTGTTAGAATGTTCCAGCTGTGAGGTTTACAGAGACCAGCTATAAGATTTACTTCTCCTTTACAAACTTAAATTAGGCAATCAAAATGCTTCTTTGGACTAAGCTGGTTTAGAATAGTTTTTCTACTGATAAGATTCTCTTAACTTTCTAAGTTTTCATGTACTCTAGATGCATCAAAATTATACAAAAATCTTAAAAGTTTCAGTGGTGACTGCATTAAAAAAAAATCATTTTATCAGGGGCTCGCTCTTACAACTCTTATCCCAACCCATACATACATCCATTGTATCAAGCACATTTGTACATTTGTTGCCACCATCGTTCTCAAAACATTTTCTTTCTACTTGAGCCCTTGGTCGCCGATTCATAATAGTAGCAAAATTACAGTTATGAAAAAGCAACAAAAATAATTTTGTGATTGGGGGGTCACCACAACAGGAGGAACTGTGTTAAAATGGTTGCAGCATTAGGAAGGCTGAGAACCACTGTTCGATAGGAAGAAAGGTGATAAACTCGCTTGTCTTTGCAATGTCGCTTGAATCTGCCACAGAGTTCCTTTATGCAGCGCCTTAAAGCGGATGAGGCTTCCCTATTCAAATAACCCTACATCTAGTGGCAGGACTTATTCTTGTTTTATCCTCTGACACAATTCTGTGGGCAAAGTATTTTTATCAAAATCTCCTTAAAACTGACCTTGTGAAATAGATACTGAAACTCATAAATAAGATTGACCTTAAAGGAAAGAAGTGAAATCAGGCCCTATTCCTCCCCTGGAGTCCTGGTGATGCTGTTAGGTAAGTACTAGATTGC